TTTAGTCCACAGATGTGTTCTATTTGTCCCTTACAGTGTTTCTTTTAAAAATGTGAATTACTGGTCAATATTTATGGAGATGTAACATAAAATCCAAATCCTGGCTTTTCTTGAAAAAACTGGAAGATCTTAGCTCACTGGACTTCCCTCCTTCCTACACCCTACTCCACCAATGAGAACCATCCAAGTCACTTTTGCTCCCTTTAGATAGGGCATAGATTTCCCAACTGGACACAGGCCCCCACTTACCCCAGTCTCAGGCTGCTTTACTCATCTAAGTTACCTGCCTGGCCCCTGTAAACATCTAAGTTGGCCACTCCTAGCCAAGATGGGTCTTTCCACCTCTAAATCTACTGTGAGTTTAGGGTTTCATACAGGTGAAAAGTTTTCCCCAAGTTCAGTCAAAAAGAGATCCTATATAATCAAAAGCCAAGCAAAACTATGGAATAGTTGGCTACCCTATGAACAGAAGAGGTTTAGCTTCTGTGACATCTGATATACACAACTGCAGGGAATGACAGCAATGACCTGATTAGCTCATCCTTTCATACCCTGCCTCCAGGCAGGTGAGAAATCAGAGAAATCTAGAATTGGAAGAAACAAGGAAAATATATACGATGACACTTGAGCAGGCTCTCTGTTTTCTGACCAATCCCATGGCTTGTCATGCAGGCCTCACCTACCACCAACAATAACAGGTTGTTATGTGTCCAGTACACAGCCTGCCCTCAAGTGGGCAGCAACCTCTTCCCAGGCCGTGGCCCAAAGTCAGAAAAAGACCCCTTTTTACAAAGGAAAAGAGTCTGAATGATTTGGAGTTAGGGCCCAGCATGCAAAAGGAGGCCCTACCACAGGAGTGGGATTTGCCACTAAGAGACACAAACATATCCCAGCAGTCTGCTGTCAGCAACCTGGGGGAAATCAGCGCAGGAAAGCAGCTAAAGATGTCAACAGCTAGATATGGGGAATGATGTTCAGTAAGCTGTAATACACTTAACCTGACCAATTGCTGGGAAGGTACATCAACTCCTGCATTTCTCTTGTAAAGCCATGTCCCCAGTACAGAGGGAGAGAACCTGAGAACACACACACATACATGTACACACATACAGAATGAAATTCTGAATAACAGAGGACGCAGATATTTGACTGGGTAGAAGATACATACACCCAGCAATTTTTTGTACAGCAGCCAAAATGGAATCACACTTTCTAATTACAGGTATCCAACATACCACAGGTTACAAAATATTTTCATGAGACTAAATCATCCCCATTTAACAAGGAGGAAAACTAAGCTTCAAAGATGCACAGGAAGCTGCTCAAGATGCACATCTAATAGCAGAACTGAGGCAAGAATCTGAGTTTCTCAGACCCTATGTTGGGTTTTAATTTGATTAACAACAGGTAGGGCTAGCTTGGATAGAACCACACTAAGAACCCTTGATTATCCATCCTAGGGCTGGGACATTCACACATCAATGAGACTTCCAGGTAGGGAATGAAGATACCCCACTATGTCAGTGACCAGTTTGGTCCAATGATCTACAAAGGTGTCCGGTTAGTATGGAGTTAGGGAGAAAGTCTTTTGTTTGCTATTATACGTTCATGTTATATGCCAAACAACCTACAGATGATGTTTCAAGGAACTACTCAATCTCAGCTCAGGGTGAGTCTGAATAAACCAGGCAACTCTCATACAACGTGGAGATACAGCATCCGAAGAAATCGTCCATCCACCTACTGACTACATCAGCACTAATGAAGATTCAATAGTTCACGTAACCCATCTCTATGTCCTACCTAGACATGTCAGAGCTTGAATACATCCTAGCGCGTGCTTCAGAGATGTAGGAGAAAATAACAGCCTATGATCCTATACCAAATGGCTGGGAGAGCTATGACTAGAATTCAGGTCTCTCATTTCCTGATAGAGTCAGCACTGTTTCCAAAATACCATTCTACCCTCAACCAAAATCAATGTAGAAGAATGGAGACAGCAGTTTTACTTTTAAATGTCTACTAGAAAAGAGCCTCCATAACCTCCATCATTCAGTCTTACCAGAAATGTAAACCTACACATAAATACACATTCATGAGAATTGAAAGGTCTACTTGGAGCCAATATTCACGTCATTCAGGCAACAACCTAACGCCATTTCCTTTTACTGGTGATACCACAATAGCTGGCCCCTAAGATTCCATGGTACTCCCCTTTAGAGATCTGAAGACCATCTGGCCATTATTAAAACAAATAAACAAAAAGGTTCACAATGATCAAATGCTCATTCTGAATGCAATCTGAGACAACATGAAATGCTATCTCAGTTTCTCAAAGAATAAACATTGGTAGACAGAATACTGGAGCTCTAAGTTATGATTTAGGCTCTGCCATTAATGCTCCTGGTCTATTATCATGGTCCCTAGTCCAGACTTGTGTTACCTGATATAGTAGCAACTAGCCACATGTGGCTAGTAAACACTTGAAATGTGACTAGCGTGAACAGAAATATGCTGTGAGTATACAATACACACCAGATTTCAAAGACTCAACAAAACACATCATTAATAATTTTTATAGTGATAATATATATGATAATATTTTAGATATGTCAGGTTACGTAAAATATATTAAAATTAATTCACCTGTATCTTTTTAATGTTTTTTAGTGTGGTTACTAGAAAAATTTAAATTATTTTTGTGGCTTGCATTTATGGCTCACATTATCCTTCTATTGGACTGTGTTGGTCTAGGCCAATGGTTCTCAACATCAAAGATTCTGATTTAACTAGCCTGGAGCCTGGGTTTTAGGTTTGGGTTTTTTTTTAAGCTACCTTAGTGATTTATTTCATTGTGCAGCCAGTGCAGTCCAGTGCAGCTAGGACTGAGAACCACTAGATTAGACTCTATATCACGCATGCCTGGGTCAGCCAGTAGTCTTCTCAAAGGTCAGCTTCAGCCCACCCAAGTGGCTGCTGGGGCAGTATGCTTGAAGGAACACTCATACTGGCCTTGGACATAGGAGCATCAATGCCAGTTCACTGATATTCTAAAGCCTGGCTCTGCCATCTGCCTCCCCAAGCCATTCCCCCTTGCTAAATCATTTTGCCCCATCCCTTGATTTACCGTTTATTATAAAAATGACATTTCACTGAAAGAGAAATATATTGGGTTTAGGTGACATTGTCACTGGGTGCAGTTTAATCTTTCTTTTAAAGAGGGGGTCTGTCGGCACAAGAGGCACAAGCTGTCTGTGTACAGGGCCTCACGCTAGTCCCAAAGGCCCATGGTTATTGATGTGCTCTTTCTGACTACCCCTGGGACCCATTCATCAACCTGCAAAGCTGAGCTGAGACACAGATGGCATTTGGAGACTCTGAAAGATGATGCCACATACGTAGAGGAAAAAAGATTGGAAATTTCATTAGGAGATTCTCAGGATAGAAGCGGGTGAGAGGTCATTTTGTCCACCTGCTTGCTTCTGAGAAGTGCCATCACCCAAATCACTACAACCAGGTAATAGTGCTTCCTGGGTTGGTAGCCCTCCAAGGAAGGAGACCTCTTTCAACCACTATGGCCAGCCTTGATAAACAGACCTTCTTGGAGCTAATGAGTTGGTGGTGATAATGAGGATAATGGTGATGATAAAGCAAGTTATCATTTGCCAAATACCCACTAAGTGCCAAGCACTGTGATAGATACTTTACTTGCATACGTGATCTCATTTAATCCTCATAAAAAGTCTGCTATCCTTACTTTTCATATGAGGAAATCGAGGCTCAGGGAAGTGAAAAATCTTGACAAAATTCATAAAGCTGGGAAGTAGTAAAGCTGAGACTGCATCTCAGGTTGTCTGATTCCAAATGCCCTGTTCCTTCTCTCATGTCACACTGCCATCATTCTAATCCTGAGGCTCTTCATCCTCTAAGGGCTCAAGGCACTCTGATCTTTTGTTTGGGGTCAGGACTTCAGCCTTATCTTACAGAAGAAACTAACAAAAGGTGATAGGCTGTGGTGAGGATGATCATAAGACACCTTGATGTGGCTCTGGTACTTGTATTGCCACAAAACTGTTTTCACATATATCATCTCATTCACTGTGACATCCCCTGGCATGAAAGAATTGCCAATACCATTTTGAAGATGGGGAAAATCAGAGCTCACAATTGCCAAAGAGCTAATTCCTGCTTATAACTCTAAGGAAGGCCAAGAGCTGGGACACCAGGCCAATGCTCTTTCCCCATAGCATCCTGCTAGTTCGTGACCCAGAGGAAGCAGAAACTGCCAAGGAGCCCCCTCTGAAGCGCCTCTTCTGTTAAGGGCCAGGTTCTTCATAGTACAATGGCAAAAGCGCCAAGGCCTTGCAAGCCCTATCAAGCTGCCTGCTTCTCACCCTCAGAACATCTTAGATCCCAGCCACCTGACACTCTGACAAAAAGTAAGATTTTCAATTAGTAAACTCTAGCCCCTGAGAGGGTAGGGAGCCCACACTCTTACGTTAATAGCTGAAGACAATCCTGAGACAACACACAGGAGTGTTCAAAGCTCCGTAAATGAGAGGAAAGTGACAAAGGAAGCAAAAAGGATAAGGGAGGGGAGGGATTTATAAAAAACGAAAGGATAAAAAAGAGGAGACGCGAGGAAAACAAAGGCGGCAGAAAAGAAAGAAGGTAAGAAAGGTAAAAGTTCACAGCAATATAGAGTTAAAAGAGTCTTCAAAAACCACCAAAGCCAAAAGGGAAGTCATTTGTACAAAGTCACAGCAGGTAGGAGAGCGAGGAATTTTTAAAATAAACAAGAGAAAAAGAAAATAATGTCTCAAAATTAGAAGGGCAAAGATTAAAAGGAGCCTGTGTCCTGGGTAGGAGACCAAAAAAACGGGAAAAAGGTGAGAGGAGTCTCCAGGAGAGGAATGAGCAGGAGAACAGTGGCTGGTGAGAGAGAAGCCAGGGACAGGCAGCCAAGGAGACAGGAGAGGAGAGTGAAGGCTGACACTCACCCTCACAAAGCTGGCAGGAAACCATCCCTCCTCATCGTCGATCTGGCCCCACCACCAATCCTTGTTGGAAGCATCCAAGACTTTGATGACGTCGCCAGCCTTAAATGCCAACTCCCGGTTGGCCATGGTGACGTGATCCCATACTGCCTCAGCACTAACGATGGAATCTCCAGTGATCAGCTTAGGAGACAAAATGAGAATGTGTTCAGTCCACATAGCTAGCTATCTTGCCCCATCGCGCCCACCCACAGAGCTCTACTCCTTATGGAAAAACTCACACACTAGTGGTGAATGGTGAGGGTGAGGGAGATGGCACTGGGAGCGCATGCTCCACCAGACCACAAAACAAACAATATTGTCAACTCTCCATTAGCCAGTGGGTGGAATGATCCAGAATGTGAATATGGACTACGTAGGCCTCATGCTTTTATCCCTACTCATGAGCCCCTCCTCGAGAGAAGAAAGCTCCAGTCCATCTCTCATTGGTGCTTCAAGGCAGCCCTCCATCTGAAATGGGTGGAGAGGCTGAAATCAATGGTTAAAATGAGACTCGAGCATATTTGCTTTAAATTCTCTGTGCTCCTCTCCCTTTCCTCATCCTCCTTGGAACTGACCAATTGAGAGTTGGTGGTACATTATTTAATCCCACCTCCAGGGGTCACAGACCATGGCATTCCTCACACACAATGGACCCCAGTCCTGCAGCCTCCTGTTCTCACCCACACATGATGCCAATCCAGAGAGGTCATGAGTATGAAAGAATATAGCTTTCTGTGATGGCTTGCTCCCAAGAAAATCAACCTTGGCACAGATTCACTCAGTGATTTGTACAACCACTCTGTGAGATACACAGTGGGTCTAAGTTGAATTCTGCATTTGACAGATGGTAAAACTGAGCCACAAGGAAGCTAAAGGGTGAGCTCAGGATTACCTAGCAAGGCAGGGGCTATGTATAGACCCTGTCCCTGGTTATTAGATATCATAGAGAGCAGGACTGGGCTCCACACAGCAGCAGAAAGACATGTATCTCACTGCCACATGAACACATACACACATGTTCACAACACTCATTTAAGCACAGTGATGAGGATGGTGGTGGGGGAATAGTCTGCCTCTCTCTGGCTACCATCCTGACCACTGTCTTATTTCTTATTTTTCTTCTTTTTTCCCTAACTGGTACCAGCCTGTATGAGCCATGAATCTTCCTGATATTTGGAGAAAGATTCCATAATAGAGAACATATAGCCTGTCAGGCAAAGGACTTAACCACTCTCTCTCTAGCACTGAATTGCTGAATATGTCCTCTAGAAATTAGTTTTTCACTCAGCCTGCTTTAAGGAAGGATTGATTCCCCAAGGCAATTAAGGATCAACAAGACCAAAGACAACAGAGACAGAATATGGAACATGCATTGTCTCACACAGGTCTGTCTTCCAACATATCAGCTGCAGAATAACCCTATGATCATGAAATTAATGCATAAGACATCACATACATATGAAAACACACACATACACACTGATCTTTTGACTTAGTTAAGGCATTCTGTTGGTCAGTCCCCTGCCTGAGGCATCCTCCGTTACTCAGTGTTCTCGCCATCGTGCCTTTCACAGAAGGTAAGGTATAGGTGGAACTCCTCAGCATAGATGCAAAAGAGATTTCCAAAAGGATCTTTTATAATACCACCTTTCAAGTACCTCATGGTATACTGTTTACAAAGTGTTTTCACATCTACTGTATCATTTCCTCCTTACTGAATGAGCTGGGTCTATTACCCATATATTTTTTCTTTTTATTTGCTGAGGAAGATTAGCCCTGTGCTAACATCTGTTGCCAATCTTCCTCTTATTTTGCTTGAGGAAGATTAGCCCTGAGCTAACATCTGTGCCAATTTTCCTCTATTTTATACGTTAGTCGGCACCACAGTATGGTTGAAGAGTGGTCCACGCCCAGGAGCCAGACCCACAAACCCAGGCCACCAAAGCAGAGCGTGCTAACTTCACCACTAGTCCACAGGGACAGCCCTTTACCCATATTTTAAAAATGAGGAAACTGAGGCTCATAGAGGTGACCTGGTCCTTTGGCCAATCACAGAAGTAATAAATTATGGAGCCTGGTCTTCTGACTATATATGCTCTAATACCCATGATATGATACTACCAATGTCTACTCATTAGCTATACTGAACTCATAGATTCCCATCCATAATATGATAAACCAGGTGGCTCTTATTCTTAAAGAACCCAAAAGAAGGAGATTTGGACAGCCACTTTAGTCACTGGTGCCCCTGCCTAGGAGATTCATTTTCATGTTTAACTTGCTTTCTTCCAATTGCACTAAAAGTCCATTTCTTCTTGTTCTGGCTTCAGTGGAGAAGAATTGCTGGTCACTGGCCTCAATATAATAAATCTTTTTAGAGAGGTCTCCTTTCTCCTGCTAAAGATGGGTCCCAACTGGGTTTTGCTAGAGCTCAATAAGCACATCACAGCCCCAACTCAGAGCACTATGAGTGCTTGTGGTTTAAAGCTATACCCTTGGCGCTTTTTTTTTTATTGGTGAGGAAGATTCGCCCTGAGCTAACATCCATTGCCAATCTTCCTCTTTTTTTTCTTTTTTTTATGTGAGCTGCTGCCACAGCATGGCCATTGACAGATGAGTGGTATGGTTCCATGCCAGGGAACTAAATCTGGGCCACCAAAGCAAAGCATGCTGAACTTTAACCACTAGGCCATTGGGGCTGTCCAGTCTTGGTTTTTAACAAGGGTCAAAATAGTATCTTGGCATCAATTACCAACCCTCTGCTGAGGATGCTATCTTTGATGCTGTTTTAGGACCCCTAGGCCCAGATCTGGCTGATTCCACTGCCTGCACTCTTTCTACAGTGCAGTCTTCTTTTTATGGCCTCCATGCTTGGCTTCTCCCAGCAGCAACTGGCTCACTCTTGTCCCCATTTAGTCCATTTGATGTGCCTGGACCCTCAGGTTACAGAGCCCAGCTATAACCTGGACAAGCCAATCCAAGATCCAGTGGCCACAAACCAACTGGCAAGCCTGTTGTCAGGGCCTACTTGGAATCAATGACAGTCAGAACTGGACAGCACTTCAAAAGATCATCACAATTAAGCCCCACTTTATAGATCAGGTATAATATAGCAGGAGTGACTTGCCTACGGTCACCAGACGGCCAACCTGGACCATTTTCCCCCCCGACATAACACCATAGATATAGAAGGTAGCAGAAAGAGAATACCTGGATTTAAGACTTTGCTCTACTACTTGCTAACGGTGTCATGATAACGATGATGACATTAGCTAATATAAAGTACTTCCTATATGGCAGGCACTATTCTAAGCACTTTACACACATTAACTCATTTAAGCTTCACAACATCCTTTTGAGGAGACACTATTATTCCTATATTACAGATGAGGAAACTGAAGCTCAGAGAGGTTAAATAATTAGCCCAAATTCACACAGCCAATAAGTATTGAAGTCATAATTCAAATGCAGGCACAGTCCAGCTCTAGACTCTGCTCTTATAAACTATGCTGCCTCTGGGTCCAAGTTTCTTCACCTGCTAAATGGGGATAATTCTACACTCCAACCTGCTTCATGAGCTATAATACATTGAAGCAAGAGCTGACAGATGTGTGTGTAAATATGAGAGGAAGGGTATTCAAGAAGGGGCTGGCAGCTGTAAGGGGCTCCTGTGTTCTCTAGTCACAAATACAAGCAGGAATAAGAGGACGTTCCTCACCTATCTTCTGAGTTGTTTTAAAAGTAAACCAACTTTGGGCTGGAAATTGGTTTCAAATCTCCCCTTTGTGTACAGAATTGACTTTTAAATTGCCACAGTTTTTTAATAAATATGAGCTTTTCTCTGCTCATCTATTTTCCATCTAACACTAAGTGAGTTGCCACTGTGTGCAAAGATCTGTTCACTGTCATTCAGCCATAGTCCTTACCTGAAGATCAAAGCCCCTTTGGGTACCAACAGTGAATGCCCTCCAAGCAGTATGCAAAGGTGGTTAAGGGCAGGCAAACTTAGCTTCAATTCTTGGCTTTGCTACTTTAGAAAGTAGCAGTGACAATGGGAGGTGAGGAATAGAAGAGGAGTCAGAGAAAAGAAACAAAATGGAACTGCCAGCTTACATGCTGGATACCAAGGAGTGCAGTATCACAAAAGCCAAGGGCAAGAGTTGTAAGCTATACAATCTTGGGCCTCAATTTCTTCATATGCAAAATGGAGATAATAACACCTGCCTCAGAGGCAGGGTTGTAGAGTGGGTGAACTGAGCACTGGATCTACACTGCCTAGTACAGTGCCTGGTATATGCTGGCCTAGTACAAGACTTCAGAGGAAGGAAGGATCATATGTGGCTATTTGGCTCTAGAACAGTTTTGTGGGGCACTTAAAGATAGACCTTAAAGAATGGGTAGGATTGGTAACAGATAGAGAAGGGAATGGGAAAGGCATTTGAAGCAGAAGAATGAGATTAAATAAAGTCTCAGAGGTGAAGACTATGGGGAATTTGATGGCAAACTGGTAGTGGAATTTGGAAAAGGCTGTGGAAGGGGAGTAGTGGGGAGGACAGCTGGAAAGGTGGGCTGGTGTCCTGTTTAAAGGTTCTCAAAACTAGTTTGAGGAAAAGGAGGAGATCAAAGTTAATTTGGTGGAGAGGGGAGTTCAAGCCTAAGTGTGATCCTTAAAGCATGGGGATAAGTTACAAGGAAATGCTAGTTTTGGAGAAGAAGAGATGACAAATTTTCTCTTTAATATGTTGAATGTGGAGGGCCAGAGGAACATGTAGGTAGATGTGAAGCTCAAGAGAGGTCAGGGGAGATAGTTAGACAGGTTTGGGAGTCAATGGCCCAGAAGAAATTGTGGAAACCAAGGAAGAGTGCCCTGGAAGAAAGCGCTAAGAACAGAAGGTCAGAAACCTATGGAAACAGCAACAATGGGAGGTGAGGAAGAGGAGTCAGAGAAACAAACCAAAATGGAGCTGTCAGCACATAATTAGGATACCAAGAAGTATAATCTCGCAAAAGTCAAGAACAAGAGTTTCAAGCAGCAGGAACTGATCAAATTATCAAATGGTACAGAGTTAGAAGAGGAAGGAAGCCAAGAAAAGGCCATTTGGGAATGGCTATATCAGAGTTAAATTCTTTATTTCTTAAAC